GTAGACCTTTTATAGCAAGGAGGGGAGTGATTAACTTTTCAGTCTAGGAGCAGAGGTCCCTAGGACCATCAAGGGAGAAGAGCAGAGAGCGGGACCCTAACCAGAGAAGCAGTGATGCCTGAAATGGAGGCAGAGATGATGACATGGAGCGATGGAGCAGCTGGAGACTTTGGATCCAGAGAGGGTGAGCGACTGTGTGCTGATGACCAGGGGCAGGCTTGTAGTGTATAACCTTTGGTTGGTTGATGATGCATGGAGGGGATTGTAACCATGGCAATGAGATGATATACGATAGAATGAATGTAAAACTAATGTTCTCCCATGTAAACTATCACATAATTCACAATAAAACATTTAAGAAAAAAACCCAAAAAACTCCACACTGAATTTACAGATGAAGCTTCTTCCCTCATTCAGCTCTGGTCTGTCACTAGCAGGAAACTAGCTTTTGAAGAAAAGGACATAGTGGGCTTCTCTTCTTTACCCACCTAGGCTTCCTTCCATACCTCCTCCCTCTCTGCGGTGGAGTACAGGAGGGGAAGAGCAGGAAAGATGAGCAGAAAAGCTCTTTCCTGTCATTGCTGGATTGATAAAGGATCAGCGCTTGCTGTGGCCCTGTTGGTAAGTTGAAAAGCCAATTCTCAGGCACTAGCATAGGTTCCTTCTCAACGCCATCACGGGAATCACTCACCTGGGCTCGTTAGGCATGACAATGGAAAATTTAGTTCTCTTCTAGCAGGATTTACTCCTTTTCCAGCCTCTAGGAATTCAGTGGTAATTTTAGCTTTTCTATACTGAGATCATGGAGCCCTGGTGGTGCTATGAGTTAAGTGTTAGACTGCTAACCTCAAGATGAGCAGCTCAAAACCAATAGCTGCTTCATGTGAGAAAGATGAGCCTGTATCCTATGAAGATGTGCAGTCTTGGAAACCCTATACAGGGTCGCTATGAGTAGGGATGGATTCAATGGCAGTGAGTTTGAAATTCTGTTTGCCGTTCTACCTGGACCTCTTGGCTTTTTCATGCTGGCTTTTTCATGGTGGCCCATATCTACAACGTGGGAAACACTTGCACACCCTTGGACTTGACAAATTCTGGGTTTGCAGGCTGGTCTCAGAGCAGCCACTGCTCTGTGTCCATGCCCCCAGTCAGCCTCTTGCTAGTCACATTTCTCAGATGTGAATCAGATGCCAGTCAACTGGGTCCCCAAAACTACATATACTGCTAATGGAAGTACAAATTGCAACAACCGTTTCAGATAGCAAATTGTTAATAGCTAAAAAAGATGAAAAGTGTGATGCTGGAAGCTATGATACCAGTATTTGAAATACCAACAGGGTACACTCATGGTGGGCAGGTTTCATTCAGCTGAGCTTCCAGACTAAGACAGACTACTAGGCAAAAGAAGTGGACTACTTTTGAATGTCTACCCACTGAAAACCTTATGAATAGCAGTGAAATGCTGCCAGCATCAAAATATTGAATACTGAAACCTGATTAATAACACCAGAATACTGTCAGGGGAAGAGCTACCTCTTCAAAGTAGAGTTGACCGTGATGATGCAAATGGAGTAAAGCGTTCAGGACCTTCATTTGCTGATGGGACACAACTCAAAATGAGGGGAAACAGTTGTAATGTCCATACAAGTATGAATCTAGGAAAATTAAAAGTTGTAAAAAATGCAATGGAATTCATAAACATCGATATTCTAGGCATTAGTGAGCTGAAATGGTCTGGTGTTGAATATTTTGAAATTGACAATCATGATTCACTATGCTGGGAATGACAAGTTGTATCACATTCATCATCAAAAGGAACATTTCAAGATCTATCTTTAAGTATAATGCTGTCTGTGATGGGATAATATCCATACGCCTACAAGGAAAACCAGTTAATACCACTATTACTCAAATTTACATACCAAGCACTAAAGATGTGGCAGAGTTTCATTCTGTTCTGCATAATGTTGCTATGAGCCTCGGAACCGACTCAATGGCACCTTACTTATAACAACACTTGGTCAGTCTTTTGTTCATTGCTGCACTGTAAAAGCACTGAAATAGAAACAACCAAGCTCAGTAGGGAAACAGATAAACTGTTGGTTAGTGGCACAATATGCAGTGAAAATAAACTAGAAATTTATCTATTGGATAAATCTCAAAAGTCTAACTTTGAGAAGAGAAAGGTACTGGAGGATAGCTGTGGTATGTTTCCAATGAATTACATGTTGAAATGAAAATGTATTGTGTATGGGTATACAGATCAGTAATTAAAGTATAAAAAACATGTATGAGAATAATCATATCTATAATTCTCAAGACAGTGGTTACCACCATGGAGGGAGGATGGAAAAATGAAATGGAGAGGGGTAAAGAGGAGACTTATGAGACTATACATTC